TCTCTCTCTCCCCCTCCTCTCTCTCCCTCCTCTCTCTCTCTCCCCCTCCTCTCTCTCTGTTTCTCTCTCTCCCTCGCGCGTGCACGTACACGTCGGTTAGTTTCGTTTTGCACGAGTTTCGGTTTGAATTCCGCTCTGCTTTCTTTCTTGCATGTGATTTACGTTGTGTAGACATCACGCACCAGTTGTCCTGTCTGGGCAGCACGTACATTCGAACCGGCCGCAAGCTGATCTGTGATGGTAAGATTCTTTCTTTGCACACACGCACGCACTACTATCATCACTTATTGTTTATGGGTATGTTTTAAATGGGAACCTTCCTCCTTTCAATTGACTACGTCACGAATTTTCTATGGCGTATATTTCTAAAAATTTTGTTGCCATTTTTTCACATTAAAAGTAAGAACTAACGGGACTAAATGTATCGTCAGATTCTTACCTGATAAGATTGTTTCTCAACTAGTTAAAAATCAAAAAAACCTGGACGATTAATGCGAAACTCAAGCAGTGTTTGGTGTACCCCCTTTGTGTTTTTAATTTATCAGGGAAAAGGTTTCTGTTGTAATGTATGAATCGGCTCACCGCTCGCAAGATATGGGGTCCTGACCCACATGACCGCCTTCTCTGTTCTTGTGTGCACCCATGTAGCAGCACCCGTGTCTCAATTATGGGCTGGTAGTGCATGCGTGTTATTGTCGGAGGGAACTATGAAACAACCACCGGCACATATTGGTGTCGATGGTTGGTGTACCCCTAGGGAGAGAGCACTATATAACAACCAGCAACACCCATAGGTGCGGTGGTCGTTATATATTGCGCCCTCTAACACTGTGGGTCAGTTAACCACCAGCATGCTCTTTTGTTATATTGTTTGCGTATGTTTCGTGGACGACTGTGTGTAACTGCATGCTTACTGAGGAGTTTCTACGTTGAAAACTTTGCACGCCGCACCTTCGTTCGGCATATTTGCCGTTCGGTACTACTTACGAAAATCATCGTGTTCTATATTTTATTAGCGTTATCAATAAAAACTCACACATACGCAATTTTCGTTACCTAATTTACACGTTGGCGCCACCGTGGATGTGTTAAACTAGCAGTGGCTGCATCTTGAATGGCAATAGCAAAGTTGCAAGGAATTGCAAATGCGTATTAGGAGACAGCCGTTCTCTTAAAAGCAATGTGAACCGACGCCAGTTTGGTGTCAGGCGTGCCGAAGACTGGGCTCTGTTCCCTCCCTTATTCACTGCATGCCCAGTTACCAACAGCGTTTGTATGCTGTTTACGTTAACAGAGATTAAGGTATGGATAAAGTAATGGATTAAAGTATGGGATAAAGTAATGGATTAAAGTATGGATAAAGTAATGGATTAAAGTATGGATTAAAGTAATGGATTAAAGTATGGATAAAGTAATGGATTAAAGTAATGGATTAAAGTATGGACAAAGTAATGGATTAAAGTAATGGATTAAAGTATGGGTTAAAGTATGGATGCAGTAATGGATTAAAAGTATGAATAAAGTAATGGATTAAAGTATGGATAAAGTAACGGATTAAAGTATGGATTAAAGTAATGGATAAAGTAATGGATTAAAGTATGGACAAAGTAATGGATTAAAGTATGGGTTAAAGTATGGATATATAAAAGATACGTAAGTGGCGGTCTTGATATTAAGTAGATTACACATTGCGATCGTTTCCAAGTGAAGTGTATTAATTTATCCAAGTGAATGTGACTAAAGTTGGAACTCGCCCTGGGTGGGGCTTGCACGTTTGGTTTCATATTGCTTGTTTTTTATGCATCTCTTAAAACATAAACGTGGGCGCAGTAATTTCAGGACATTAAATTCGGATATACTCAATTCGTGACATGCCCAAGCGTTCATTTACAATGCAGTATCTTTCAAAGGCACGCACGCACGCACGCACGCACGCACGCACGCACGCACGCACACACACGCACACAGTATCGAAGTATTAATAGCATATATAATTGTTTTCTAACACATTAAAACGGGATATGATTGAAAAGAAAAGGATTCCCATTAAAATGATTGGCTGCACGAAATTCACACTGATTTTGAGTTTCTCACAAATAGTTTCTTTCTCCTTCAGGGCTAACTCACAGTACGGCGGCATCACAATGATATGCCAATGATGTTCAACATTTTAATATGTTATGCAAAATTGTGAAGTTGCTCTAAGCAGTGTCTCTTGACCATTAAAGTGTATTTTGGCACGTTGGCTGGATGTGTAAAACAAGTCGTTTAGACTGCAGGCTGCCATTGAATTGTTGAAAAAAAGCAGCCGTAAAACAAACGTACATTTTATGTGGCCCACGGCTTCATGCGATATAAATAAATAATTCCAGTCTCTGTATATTTACTATAGCGGTCAATAAATTAAAAACTATATGAAACATATAACGTGACATTAAAGGTTTTAAGTCTAAAACCTCTCACCTTTCTGCCAACCCAGCGTATATTAATTTCATATATTGCTAAGTCCATCGTAAATTGGTTAGATAATCATAAACGGAAAACTGGCCGTTACTAGGCAATATCCCATAGGGAAATTTCTAATGCTTTGTTCTAAATGTTTATAGACCAAACATGGTTCAGCTGCTGTTTATATAGACTTTACTAAAATGCGGAAATTTTTGTCACTAATCATTAATTCTCCTCGATGTAATCGGCCGACCAAACTTTCCTTATGGAATACACGCATAGAATTATGCAATACTGCTTGTTCTAATTGTCCATGACCCTTGGGAATAGTGACTCATGTTTCAAAGGTCTATTTCAAGATTCAAGATTCAAGATCATGATTCAAGTATCCTACATTTGCCGATAACGTATGAGCCTTAACTAATAACGCATGCCATATGCTATCGGTGTGTGTGTGTGTGTGTGCGCGTGCGTGCGTGTGTGTGTGTGCGCGCGTGTGTGTGTGTGTGCGCGTGCGTGCGTGTGTGCGACACCACGTTGTGTGAACATGTGTGACACTTAATTAGTGTATACATAATAAATATATTAGATGGGTGTGTCACGTTCAGAGGATGTATCACACTTCCTGATGGCATATGCCAGTTTTCGCGGCTTAAGATTGTCTAATAGTATGTGACAATAGCAAACAGTGTGTGATTGACATGCTGCTGGTTTGCTATATGTATCTGGTGTAACACACTGACACACGTTTATGGTGTCAAATACATCCTTAATAGTGTTTTACTATTTTTCGTTGATACGGAAACTTGCTGATTGAATCTAATATATCGAATAATAATAATAGATAATTATAATAGATTATAGATAGATAATAATAGATAATTATAATAATAGATTGAATCTAATATCCCTTAACTGTTCGATCCTAACCATCCTTCGCAACCGCGGCAGTTGCCAACGGCATCTGTTGCACTCTCACTGTGTATCGTGTACGTACCAACTGGCCATACCTTCGTAGATAGTGACGCTTGCTGGTGGTATTTTATACGTCCTGGCTGTATCTCGCCATCCCTCGTGGATAGTGACATTTGCAATTTACTAAAGTTAAATGAAGCGGGGTTTCTGAAAAACAATCTTCTAAGAAGTGAATAACGATTGAAGTGAATGTATACACATATCAGTAGCAAGGTAAAGCCATGTAGAAGGGAACGGTAGGTTTTTTTTCACGCCAATAGCGGCGTACGGTTTGCATTAGCAGCGCATGCATTTTGCATGCGATCTCACGAAATTTCAATGAACCCCGTTCTGTCTTAATAACCCTCACCAAAGTATAAAAAAGGTTATATGGGACAGAATTATTCGGTCTAGGTGAGTAGTAGAGTGTTAGGGATGCTCTGTAGCAAAAGCAAGGGCAGGTAATTGCTCTTTCTAATGACATCTGAGTCGCCTGAATCCCCCTCTGCGTGCCTACTGCTCGGAGAAGTAGTGCAAACTTCATTTCCCTGCGCGAAAATCTACTGATCGTAAAGTAATCGAGGAAAATTAACAGCGGTCCACTTTGAAGCAGCGGCGCAGAAGAACACAGCGCAAGTTTGTGCAATAGGCTCGCTGTAAGGTGGCTGAACCACACTGCCATATTCGATTCGTTCGTTGAAATCGTTTGAAATCGTCACTAATCTACACGCGTGGTGGGTAAGACGTTGGTAACAATTAATGGTTCCTATGTGCCTTCACGTAAGAACATGTAAGTGCAGGGAACTGCAGCAAACGGGACTGTCATGCGTGTGCCATCTTCTTCTTCCTTCGAAGTATTAGTCCCACTCAAGTGGGGTTGCTGCTGTGGACTCTTCTCTTCCATTTTTATCATGCGTCTGCCTTCATTGTTGTCTATTAAACTCGGATTGCCATTGACACTACATGGAATATATTGTTTTAGACACAGCTATTAATATAGCATGTCGTCTACGCGTTTTCCTTTGACAGTCATTTATACGCACTCTTGTGATTAAACTCCCTGCTGCCGAAAAATAGATAACCTTTCTCTGATTTCCCTTAGGTAGCATTTCATCTTTACACGTGCAGTATAGTGCGTATATATATCGTCCTCTCTCTTTCCCCTATCGCGATTCTCTTTCCCACTAATACTACTCTCCCCCCCCGCCCTAACTATTTTCCACGAACATTACCCTCTTCCCCCCCTGCCCCCAACTCTTTCCCATCAACAATACGCTTTTTCCCCTTAACCCCCAACTCTTTCCCATGAACACTACCCTCTTTCCCCCTAGCCTCCAACTCTCTTTCCCACGAACACTACGCTTTTTCCCCCTAGCCTCCAACTCTCTTTCCCACGAACACTACGCTTTTTCCCCTAACCCCCAACCTTTCCCACTAACACTACGCTCTTTCCTCCTGCCCCTAACTCTTTCCCCACAAACACTTCACTCTTTCCCCCTTCTCTCTTCTCTTCCCTTCCCTTCTCGTCTCTTCTCTTCTTTACCCCCAAATCTCTTTCCCACCCCAAATCTTTCTCCCAACCCCTCCATATTGTTTACCCACGCCCGTAATTCTTCGGCCCCACTTCTCTACCGCTCCCAGGTACATCAAGTGCAAACCATGTTCAACGTAGGGGGGGGGGCAGAAGGCTGGAGGGCGGACGTGAACGTCAGCACGCGGTGTTAAACCCTCCCAGCATGCTAGCGGGAGATCGCGCAAATGTTTAAACGTGGCCCGCTGCATAATTCATCGGCCGATGCCCGCCAGAAATTAAATACTGGTGTTTGCTCGATCGATGGCACGAGCGACTCGTCGCTGTTGATCCGAAATTCGGAATTATTTGCATACGTTTAACGGCCGAACTGCGGGTAGAGAGGAGCCACTGAGGAGAGATGGCTTCTCTCTCTCTCTCTCTCTCTCCTTCGTTCAAAAATCCATACCGGCTCACGTTTCAACAGTGACCAATAAACCACGCGCACGCACGCACGCACGCACGCACGCACACACGCACACGCACACACGATTCTGGGCTCACAACTTCCGCAGCGGCAGCAGCAGCAGCAGCAGCAGCAGCAGCAGCAGCAGCAGCAGCAGCGACAGCCGAAGAAGCAGAAGAAGCAGCAGCAGCAGCAGCAGCAGCAGTAGTAGTATTACTAGTAGTGCTTTCCACAGTTGCATCTTTTCATCGACCCACGATTATAGTTTTTTTCACGGCATAATTTCCAACTGTGTTAGAAGCTTGTTTGGTAAACGGTAGAAGATACTAATTAATGACTGCAAAGACAATACGTTTATATTTTGTCATGTGTCAAGTTTACAATGTTCATTGTATTTTGTTTGAAGTTATTTCCTTAAAAAAATAGTAAATAAGAAGTAATAAGTAATAGTATAATAATAAAAAGTAGTATCAGTAGTATAGTAGTATCAGTAGTATATAGTAGTATCAGTAGTATAGTAGTATCAGTAGTATAGTAGTATCAGTAGTATAGTAGTATCAGTAGTATAGTAGTATCAGTAGTATAGTATCAGTAGTATAGTAGTATCAGTAGTATAGTAGTATCAGTAGTATAGTAGTATCAGTAGTATAGTAGTATCAGTAGTATAGTAGTATCAGTAGTATAGTAGTCAGTAGTAATACTAGTATCATGGTTCTGTGGGGTTTTGCACGAGGGAGAGAATGGCTGAGTGTTAACGCGTGCGTGCGTGCGTGCTTGCTTGCTTACAGGGGCAGTGTCAGTGGTGCTGGACTCGGTGGAGGAGATCCAGTGTTTGACGGACTGTGGAGAAAGGGACCTCGACTTCTTACATACCGTGCTGCACGACAGACAGTTACACTCTCTACTTGACGTAAGTCTCATCCGCTTATGCGGCCAACCCTGTGTGTAACGGTCATTCAGTGGAGTGTCCTTTATAGACAGGTGTCTGCTCTGTATAGGTGTCCGCTAGCATAGGGTCTACTGTGAGGGGACCGGGTAGTGGGGATTTAGGGGTCATGTGATGTGACCAGTCTTCGTGGGAAATTCTAAGATGTGCAAGGTTAGGGTTGCTTCAATTGTGCCTATATCTCATAGAGCACTCGTGTGGCTACGTGATAGTAACTGACAACAAATCCCAAGATATCAGCTCTTAGAAATGCGACCATATTATCGCGTGAAACTTCGTTTGAAACTGAATTCGACTGTTAACTGAGTTCGACTGTTACACCACACGATGCGGTCGATTTTTCTTGAGTGTGAACCGGATTTTTTGACCCATCCATGCATGCCGTGGAAGATTTATTACAGTTTGCAAGACACGTCGACTGTTCATTTCTCTATGTCAATCTTTTCTTCGTGTCTGGCTTCATCAAGCATGTAGCAGTTTCCCTCGCAAGAGACCAAACCCTGTCTTCACAACTTATATCGTGATTGAATGATGAGACAAAATATACAGAATTTATTGCAACGCTTTGGTGAATCCGTGTAGGACGATGAGCTAAGCTTGGCTGCTCGAAATTGCAAGTAATGTTTAAGTCTCTGTCTCCCTGCTAGCAGAAACTTTGTCACGTTTAACTCGAGGTTCTGCCAATATTACATATAAATCTCAAATAAAATTGCAGACGTGACATCATGAAGTTAGTTTATATGCTCCGTTCCTCTTCATCATCATAGTTCATGGTTCGCCTACCTTATAAAAATGTTTAATAAAAAAAATTATGTTTAATAAATAATTAATATAAAAATATCAAGTTATGCTCACTAGTATTATAGTCCACGGGGTGCCCGTGCGTCGTTTTCGTGAAGCCGTGGACTGCATTAGAGACACGATTTTTTTGTACGAATCCTACTACTCGCTATATCTATAAAAGATGTCTGCATCCAAACCGTATAGCGGTTTGCGAGCGTCAGTCATGCAAATAGCGTAGGCAATGCTTTCCTTCGCCGAGTGCTGTTTGTAAGGGCGTCGACATTTAAGGTTTTTTTCACCCTCTGACGAAGTTTACGGCTAGCAAACATTGCCTGCCGTTGGATTTAATAAACTAAATTAAGTCAACAGAATTGTATCGTATTGGTGTACCGCGCAAAAGTGGTCACCAGCGGCAATGACCATCGTATAACACATGCGTCCGTCTTTGTCGGCAGCTCGCATCGGCACGCCGCAGTTCATGGCGCCGGAGATGGTGCAGCGGGAGCCGTACGGAAAGCCGCTCGACATGTGGGGCTGCGGCGTCCTCCTCTACATTCTGCTCAGCGGCTCTCTGCCTTTCTTCGGCACCAAGGACATGATCTACGAGATGATCAGCGAGGGAAGATACCACGTGAGTCGCACGGAGGCGTGTTCTCGTAGCTGAGATAGCACGCGTGTGTCCGCGTGTACAGCTGGGTTTACACTACCGACTTTATGTTGGCGAATCGGCGAGTTGGACCAATTTCGCAATTCGGCAACTCCGAGTTGGCGAAAATAGAACATGTTCTCATCGCTCAACTAGTTGTTATCGATCGGTTGGTCGCGCAACTTTTGCGTTTACACTGCCGATTGTCGGTTGTATAGTTGGGAAGTTGGTCCAATTCACCAATTCGCCAACACAAAGTCGGTAGTGTAAACCCAGCTTAAGCGTGTCCGTTGTGTGAGCGATATAAGATATAAGATACGCATCAGTTTTATTTATTGCTTTCAATATTAGTAATAACAAGGATTTTAGCAAAAAAACAATACAGCGAAGTGATGACGAAAAGACCATACGGTCATCCAGTGTGTCCTATCCCCTGGAAAAATTAACGTAGTACACGGGGTAGCAACGTCGAGCGTGGATATATTGGTGCTATGTTGGACGTGCTCACCCGGTTTGTCTATGTTTCTCATGCGTGGAGACGAACGTTTCGGCTGTGCAGCACTTTGTTGCTATGCATTGTTTTTTGGGCGTTAGTATCGCATTTTCCGATGGGCTAAAGCTGCTTGTCTACTCTCCTGGGTGAATATGTCGGTTCTAAAAGTGGAATTGTATTTAGTTTGGTAATATGCAGCATTTTTTTTATCACACCGTTCCTGGAAGAGGATAATCTTATTATGTACAGTCCATTGTTCATGATTAATCAGAAATAATTATTATAGTGAGTTATTTGAGCTACTTTCCAAGGTTATTTTACCAAGGTTGTCACCATGGGATAATAATTTGGTGCAAGACTACTTGCAACGCGTATGAAATAAAACCAAAACATGGAATGTGGATTGCACGTACATGTAATACACCTCTACACACACATACACGTATTCGGCATTTTTTTCAATAAAATCATATTTTTGCTTTGCGAAGATGAAACCAAAACAGTGGGACCACATATCAGAGAGTGCGAAGGACCTGCTACAGCAGATGTTGACCTTGAACCCTGACCGCAGGATAACTATTCAGCAGTCTCTGAAGCACCCCTGGATAGAGGTAAGCCTGAAAAGGAGCTTTCAGAATTAAAATTGAGTGTGAATGTATTGTGTTAGAAAGATAACTTTCCAACTTGGCTGTAGATAATTTTTTCTTGTTGTCTTACTTTGAACCTGCAGACTGCTTTGCCTTCTATTCTCTTTTGTATACCACAATTTTTTTCTTTTAATGCAATGCTTATCGCTTGGGCTCATCATTGATTTTGAAAATGTCTCCTCTTAGAAATGGCACGAATTTGTATAAGACGAACATGATTATTAGGTGTTTTGCCTAAAGTTCATAGCGAAGTAGCACTCTGCAGACTCACCCCCAGTTATATGTCATTATCACTGTTGGTGATTGTAATGATAACTGTTGCTGATGGAAAACAACGAATTTAATTTTAACTGCCATGTGACGTTCACACCGTACCATGAATATATATGCTAGTCATTTACCAACTCTTGACGGTTAGTTTGAATGTAGATTGTGCGCTTTTGCACTTTCTTCAAAATGTGACCTCACATCCATCTTTGACACACCATAGATATAGAATACAGGTAGATCTGTATAGATCTATGGACACACTCAGGAACATTGTTGTTAAAAACGTTCTCTATATTACACACTTGAAAGTCATGATTGTAGGATATTTTACTTTCATGTTGTATTTGTACGTTGTAGGATAGAGAAAGGTTCGCCTTAAAGATGCACTTGAACGAAACGATAGAGGAAATGACAAAGTTCAATGCTAGAAGAAAATTGAAGGTAAAGTTTAAATCGTGTGATGGACATACACTTGTGTCTGAAGACATACATTTTTTAATAGTTAAAAATATGGCATTTTATCTGAAGTTATTAAAATAAACGTTGTAAGTGCACTTTAGACCCAATATAATGTGGCTATGTATAACACGGAATTGCTTATAGTGTGGTCAAAGTTTTTACGGTCGCGATAAATTTTTAAACACGTTTTAAATGAGTCGGATCAAATTCGTGCATATTTCCATTCCCCTGCGGACACTATCTATTACATAAAAGTGTAGAAACTCGATGTAACACGGACTCGCTTGTAATGATATTTCTTATATTTCTTGATTAACTCTTTTTACTCCGAATTTTTATGCCTGGGTGATGCTTCCAGTGTACGCGTGGCAATTTCAAATTTTAGTGCATTTTGTTACACCAGGTGGCACCACTTTACTGCAGCTGGAGTTGCTGCGTAAGACCAGCTGGTGTGCGATTGATCTTGCTGATGCTGTGCTACTGGTAGTGAAGCAATTAACTAAGTAATTGTGTTACAGGGAGCAGTTCTGGCAGCCGTGTCAAGTAGCAAGTTCAGCAATTTCTATAGTGACCAAATCATAGAAGGCATTTCTCCATATAGCTGGGACGAAGAAATTACCTCTGCAGGTATACAACCTATATCTCTGCACTAACAGAGTCACGTTATTTTACATGACTCAGGGATCTCGTATAGTGTCTTAATTAAATAATTCAGTAACCAGAGAGACCGGGTACAAGATGGCGTTGCGCAAAAGATGTGTTGTTTCCCGACCGCCGAGAGCGGTTAAGCCGCCGCGCACTTCCGCGGGAGCTAGGCGCACGCGACCGCGGGTGTTGTATGTAACATCTCGCGCTGCCCGCTATACGAATTCGCGCGCCGAAGGAAGGCGGGCGCGCGAATCCGTATAGCGGCAAGCATAACAGCGCGCAGTTTTTGTCAAACGTACACCGGCTTGACTACGGCGGCCTTGGGGGGGAACATCGCTCAGTTGGATCCATATTATTTTTAATATTTGCAATACAAATACTGCTGAATGATTACAGAGAGTAATTCTGGGTTTAAAAAACCTACCTGATTGTATGGTTTGCTTGCTACCACTCCGTTGTTTGCTATCTACCTTGCACACCCTTAATGTTAAACTACTCATATACGTCCGTTAACAACAGCGAGGAAAAAAATTCGATCAGTAATCAATGAGGTTTGGGTATCAAGTCAGCGAAGCTTGAGATTTCTCGACGACGACGTCGTTTTTTCTTCGGACGTAAATCGCCGAACGACGCGCCCCGGATTGAATCGCGCGATTCTTTCACGGATCGTCGCGCGGAGACGGACGCGTTGAAACGCGTCGCGACGAGACGGCTGCGATTGTCGTCGCTCCCGAGCCAGCGGTTTCTCACAACGCGCGCGCGCGCAGACTGTGGGTTGCGGAGAATGCGAGTTTTCTCGTATCGCTGTCGCATCTAACGGCCATTATAATAATGAGTCATGGCGCGCTGCGTCGTCGATGGCGACGGGGGCGTCTGCCAGCGATGAGCATTGCTAGAAAACGTAGCGAACGCCGCAAATGAGATGCCTTCCATAGGGACAAGGATGCACGTAGTAAGGAGGGGTGGCTGTAGTAAGGAGGGGTGGCTGTAGTAAGGAGGGGTGGCTGTAGTAAGGAGGGGTGGCTGTAGTAATTTTCTCCTCTCTCTCTCTCTTTCTTTCTCTCTCTCTTCTCTCTTCTCTCTCTCTCTCTCGCTCTCTCTCTCTCTCTCCTCTCTTTGGGCTTTCCTTCCCTATTCTCTTCGCTCTCTCTCCTCTCTCTCCCCTCTTCGCCCATTTCTCTCTCTCTTCCCTATCTCTCTTCTCTTTTTCCTTCTTCTCTCCTCCTCTCTCTTCTCTCTCTCTTCGTCCGCCGGCTTGCCTCTCTCTCTCTCTCTCGTCTCTTCTTCTCTCTCTTTCTTCTCTCTCTCTCTCTCTCTCTCTCTCTTCTCTTCTCTCTCTCTCTCGCTCTTCTTCTTCGATCTCGCTCTTCTCCTCTCGATCGCTGCGTTGCTTTGCAAGTCATTGCCGTGGGTTGACCACTTTTGCCGCGGTACACCAAATACGAATTACAATTCTGTTGGACTTTAATTAGTTTATTAAAAATTCCAACGGGCAGGGCAATGGTTTGCTAGCCGTAAATCTTTCGTCACAAGATGAGGTTGGAAAAAAAACCTTAAATGTCGCACGCCTACTTTACTAAACCGTCACTCGTGGGCGAAGGGAAACATTGGCTACGCTATTTGCATGGGGGGACTGGAACGCTCCGCGAATACCGCATTTACGGTTTGGATGGCGCAGGGACATTCTTTTATAGATATAGCGAGTAGGGTAGGATTTCGTACAAAAAAAAAGCGTGGTCGTCTAATTGCAGGGTCACGGGCTTCACTTGAAAACGGACGGCTACGCGGCCCCCCAACCCCCGTGGACTATAATTACGATGTGGAGGGGCATAAACTTAATGATTTTTATATTAATTATTTATTAAAACATAATTTTTTTATTAAAAACATTTTCTTTTAAGCGTAGGCGAACCAGGAACTATGATGGATGAAGAGGAACGGAGCCATATAAACTAAACTTCATTTGATGTCACGTTCTTGCAATTTTATTGAGATTTTATATGGATATTGGGCAGAACCCTTCGAATAGTTTTAAAACGTGGACAAAGTTTTCTGCAGAGCAGGGCATGACAGAGACTGTAAACATTTACCTTGCAAAATTTCGAAGCGCCAGCCCAAAAAAGCGTAGCTCATCGTCCCTAACCACGGAATTCACCCCCAAAAGCCGTTGCAATTAAATTTTCTGTATATTTTGTTCCATCATTCAATCCACGAGATAAGTTCTGAAGACCAGGGTTGCGTCTCTTGCTGAGGGGAAAACTTTTGGCTACATGGCTTGATGAAGGCCCCCAGACACCGAAGAAAAGATTGACACTTATAGAAATTGAACAGGCTCGACGGTGTCTTTGCAAACGTGTAATAAATCTTTCCACGGCCTGCATGGAATTGGGTCAAAAAATCCCGGTTCACCAACTCAAAGAAAAATTCAAAACCGCATCGTGTGGTTTGGTAAACAGTCGAACTCAAGTTTAAAAAACAGTCGGAATCAGTTTCAAACGAAGTTTCACGCCCGATAATGTATGCGTTGCGCCATTTCTTAAAGAGCTGAAATATCTTTGGGATTTGTTAGTCAGTTACTATCACGTAGATCCACACGGACGTGCTCGATGAGCATATAGGAAACCACAATTTGAAAAGCAAATCCCTAAAACCTTGCACATCTTTAGAATTTTCCACGAAGAAACTGGTCAACATCACACGAACCCCTAAATCCCCACTTTAAACCCGGCCCCCTCACAAGTAAAAAAAACCATTGCTTTTAGGGCGGACACCATATACAGAGCAGGCACCTGTCTAAAAGGAACACTCCACTTGAATGGACCGTTTACACACAGGGAGTTGGCCGCATTAAAGCGGATTGAGGGACTTACGGCAAGGTTAGGAGAGTGGTAAACTTGTCTTGTCGTTTGCCAGCACGGTATGTAAGAAAGTCGAGGTTCCCCTTGTCTTCCACAGTCCCGTCAAAACACTGATCTCCTCCACGAAAGTCCAGCCACCACCGACAACTGCCCCTGTAAGGCGCAAGCAAGCACGCACGCACGCGTTAACCCTCTGCCCATTTTCTTCCTGCCCTTCGTTGCAAAAAACCCCCACAGGAACCATTGATTAACTTAATATTAACTACTTTGATTAAACCAGTATACTAACTATACTTGCATATACTACTAAGAACTTTTAACCTGATCACTATTACTACGATTAACTTTAACATTATTTTACTACTGGATTACTATACTTACTGGATACCTACTATACTACTGATACTACTTAATACTTTTACTGATACTTTTTACTATATACTAGACTGATAGCTTACATTTACTACTGATACTAACTTTTTATTATTATTACTTTATTACTTATTACCTTCTTATTTTACTATTTTTTTAAAGGGAAATAAAACTTCAAACAAAAATTGACCATGAACATTGCTAAATTGACCCACATGGACAAAATATAAAAACGTTATTGTCTTTTGCAATCATTAATTGATAGTACCTTCTACCGTTTTGACCCAAACAAGCTTCTAACACAGTTGAAAATTATTGCCGTGAAAAAAACTAATTCGCTGGGTCGCATGAAAAGGATTGCAAACTGTGGGCGAAGCAACGACTAGTAATACTTACTACTACTAACTTTACTACTTACTGCTGCCTGCGCGGCTTCTGCTTCTCCGGCTGTCGCTGGCCCTTGCTTGCTGCCTTTTGCCCTGCGGAAGTTGTGAGCCCAGAAATCGTGTGGTTGCGTTGTAGGCGTGCGTTGCTTGCGCTGCGTGCGGTGCCGTGCGTGCGTTTGCGTGGCGCGTCCTGCGCCGTGGTTTATTGGTCACTGTTGAAACGGTGGAAAGCCGGTATGGGATTTTTTGAACGAACAGATGAGAAGGAAGAGAGAGGAGAAGCCATCTCTCGCTCAGTGGCTTCTTTCCTCTCTACCCCCGCCCAGGTTCCGGCCGTTAAACGCTATGAAATTAACTTCCAGAATTTCGGCAGAGCAACAGCGACGAGTCGCTCGCCCAATCGATCGAAGCCCAAAAACACCAGGCATTTAATTTTGGTGCGGGCATCGGCCCGTTGGAAAATTATGCAAGCCGGCCACGTTTAAACATTTGCGGCGATCTCCCGCTCAAGACATGTGCTGGCGGGAGGCGTTAACACCGCGCGATGCTGACGTTTCACCGGTCCGCCCTCCAGCCTTCTGCCCCCCCCCCCAAAGTGGAACGATGGTTTTGCCAAACTTTGATGTTAAACCTGGGAGGCGGTTAGAGGAAGTGGGGCCGGAAGAAATACGGGGCGTGGTGTAACAATGATGGAGGGCGTTGGAGATGGAGGGCGGTCAGTTGGTGGGAAAAGGAGGGGGAACTTGGGGGTAAAAGGAGGAGAAGGAGGGGGGGACGAGGAAGGGAAAGGGAGAAGAGAAGAAGAGGGGGAATAAGAGTTGAAGTGTTCGACGAGGAGAGGCTGAGGGAGATGAGATGGACGAGAGACGTGAAGAGAGAAGATAGTGAAGAAAAGAAAGAGAGAGAGATGAGAAGAGAGAGAGGAGAGATCTCCGGGTCTATTCTGCCTGTAGAGGGAGCTCCTCGAGAGAGGAGAGAGGAGAGACGGAGGAGAGAAGGAGGTGAGAGAGGAGAGATAGGGGACTAGAGCGAGATAGTGTGATGAGAGAGATGAGAGGAGGGTTAAGAGCGGCGGAGAGAGGAAAATATCATCGAAGACTGTAGAGAGAGGAGACTGAGAGGAGAGAGAGAGAGACAGTATGGAAAGAGAGAGAGAGAGAGAGGAGAGGAGAGAAGAGACAGAGCAGAGACAAGAGGACATGAGACAGAGACAGAGACGGACACAGAGTAAGTTGGAGAGGGGGGGGAAGGGGAAGGGGGGGGAGAGAGAGGAACAGAAGGAGTGGTTGATTCTGGGAACGTAGCAGAGTAAGCAACTAGGGGGGCAAGCGGCGAAAAAGAGCGTCCAGAGCGAGGTATGAGA